TGCACTCGCTGCGGGGCCGCAAGTTTTTGTGATGAATTCCGGCATGCGCGCGCGACGACGCGCGCGCGTGCGTTCGTCATGTTCGTTTGCAAAGGGTTTTCGCGACGGCGCTCGCGCAACGCGCCCGAACGATTTCGACATGCGGGCGCGAAGCCCGCTTGGTAGCGTGTTCTGAACATGTTGAAACACTTATGGCTTAGATTGCGATTTCGCAAGATCGCGCGGGCAAGGTGTCTTTACTCGTGAAATTCCGCGCTGCGACACCTTATATTCCTGAACACGAATTATTTTGGACGCTCGATTTTGAAATCTTCAAGAGACCCCAGGTTTTTGAAGGACTTCGGCATGCGCGCGCTACGACGCGCGCGCGTGCACTTTGCCATAACCGTTGCAAAGGATTTTGGGAACTTATGATTGTTGGTAAACTAGTGCGCGCGCATATTGTTGCTGCAGAGGATGGCGGGGGGGGGGGGGGGGCAGAGACCCGCTCGGGGCGAGATCGCGGAATCCATAATTTCGACAATGGCGGCGGAGCAGAATCCATATGTACCTTTCATACGACGAGAATGGGATGTGATAGTCCTAGTCCCAGAGGGGGGGGGGGAAGGGGAGGAAGATGGGCGGTTCGCAATAACAGGTGGGGCAAAGAAGGGGGGGGGGGGCGAGGGGGGGTACAGTCAAATTAGATTTTATCCGAAAAAGAAAGTGGTTTTCACAATGCGAGTTCGGCTTTAGCGCCGCCGCAAACGCCCCGCCCACCCAACCGCAACTTTGCTTGCAACAGCCGCGCGGCAGCGATTGCGATGCATGCTTGGCGTTGGCTGGTGCATCTTTGCGGCCGCGCTAGCCCGCGCATGCTCGCGCGCGCGGCGGCCAGCTAGCTTGGCGCGACCGACGCCGCGGCGGCGGCGCTCACCGCTGGGCGCATCCCAGCGGGCACTTCGCTGCGGGTCGGCGACTTAAGCGGGCGTGGTATAATGGCAACGTCGACAACGGTAGAAACGAGGATGCGAGTAGCGATGCTGGTGACGATGTTGACAACGCCGAAGGCGTGACCAGTGCGGGCGCCGATGCTGACCACGCCGACGACGATGGCGGCGCTCTTGCGTCGGTGATAACGGTTTTGGAGAGAGTTCGACGCGCGCGCGCGGCCGGCGCGCGAGAGTTGCCCGCATGGTATTCTTTGACACGGATCGCGCTCCGCACCCCCCCAGCACGCGCGCAAGGGCGCGCGAATGATGTCGGCATGCGGCGCGAAGGGCCCGCTTGACACAATTATATGAACATGCTGAAGGAAACCGTGTTGTTTCCCAGATTCTGCAAGAGCGTGAATGTATACACATACATATATATATATGTATGTATGTATATATATATATATGTATATGACGTTGCGAAACCATGTGTTTGTGTATGCGTGTTTGAACACCCTGTTGTACACTCGTTGCGGGTCCGAAGGTTTTTGATGGATTCCGGCATGCGCGCGTGACGACGCGCGCGCACTTCGCCATACCTGTTGCAAGGGATGTTTTGGAAACTTATGCTTTGTGATGAACGAATGCAACTTATGATTCTCGAGAAACTTATAACTTGGTGTTGGTTGCTGCATTTCTGCGGCCGCGCTAGCCCGCACATGCTCGCGCGCGCACCGGCCAGCTAGTTTGGCGCGACCGACGCGGCCGCGGTGGCGCTGACCGTTGGGCACTTCCCAGCGTGCAGTTCAGTGCGGGTCGGTGATTCGGGCGGGCGCGATGTCATGATGACGCCGTCAACTCTGAACACGGGTATGTGGATAGCGATGATGATGACGATGGTGGCGATGACGACGACAAGCCAAAGATGGCGCCGATGTTGACCAAGCCCGCCGATGACAATGACGATGTCTTCGCGTCGGCGATGAATGCCTTTGAAGGAGTTCGACGCGCGCGCGCGGCCGACGCGCGCGAATGGCCCGCGCGGTATTATTTGACACGGGTCGTGCCCCTTTCCTAGCATGCGCGCAAGGGCGTTCAAATGAGTTTGACATGCAGGACTCCCGAGAAGGCTCCGTGTTCTCACAACATCGGTAAGGCGTCGGCGACGCAACCTATTGCTGCCCAGGCGCACCCGCAAGGCGCCGTGCGTATTGTTTTCTCGGCTAGATGAATATATATATCTTATATATATATATATATATATATATATATGTATGTGTATATATATATGTATATATATGTATATGAACAAGCGTGTTATTGCAAAGCCACGTGCTTGTATACATTGTCGGGGCACGCGTTTTTGAAATCTTTGCGGAACCGAGCACTTTTGAAGGGTTCCAGCATGCGCGCGCGACGACGCGCGCTTGCGCACGTCGTGTTAGCTGTTGCAAGGGATGCTTGCGACAGCACGCGCGTAATGGCATTCGAGCAATTTCAACCCCATGTTGTTTTAAGAACTCGCAAGAGCGTGGGCGCAGATTTTTTTGAAAACCTGCGTTGCGAAACCCAGTGTGTTTATATGTTTCGGGACACTGGATTTTGAATGTTGTACGACACTTTCGGTTGTTTTAGGGACTTCGGCATGCGCGCGCGACGACGAACGCGTACGCATTTTGTCCCCGCTTTCGCAGGGGATTCTTGCAATGTTTTGATATTTGATAAAAGAGCGAGCGCGCACTATATGTTCTGCAAAGTACAGGGGGGGACCGGTACCGGCCTGCTTGGGATTGTATGAATTCAATTATCGGATGGACGATGGGAGAGAGTCATATGCAACTTGCAATAAGAAAACCATGGCCCGTTAACGTTGGGGGGGTCGATCTTCATACTCTTTTAAACCAGAGAATCTATGTTGTGCAACGGGGCGGCGGCGACGGGACGGAACTGCGACGGTAACCGCCAGACCGTCAGCCAGGCCCAGACGACGGGCGGCGACGAGGCGGCGACGGGGCGGCGACGGCGACAACATAGCCGCCAGACCGCCAGACAGGCCCAGACGACGGGCGGCCAGACCGCCGCCCAGGACCAATTTCTTAGAAAGAAATGAGACCTCTAAGTGCAAGCAACCACTGTTTGGGAATCGTTAATTTTGCCTCAAAGGCCCGTTTGGAAGTGCTCTTGTAGGTCTCTTGGGGGGTCTTGAAGGCCTCTTGGGCCGTCTGGAGGCCATCTTGGACGTCTTGGAGCGATTTCTCGGCGAATCGCAGGACTCCAGGACACATCGGAGATTTCTGGACGTCGTTTTGCGCGGTCACAGCGTCCAGAGGACTGGCGGGAAACACTTCAGAACTCACGGGGAACACCCCGGCAGACCCCGGAAAAAAACACACATTTAGAATCTTGGTTGCAGCAACAGCACAGCTGTGAGCCTTGAGGTACTCCACTTGGTGCCAGGGGCACAGTGAGTGGCGGATCTGGCAGACATCAGCCCAGGCAACCTCTGGCGCCACCCGCGCGACACGGAGCCTGAGGAGGAGGGTTCCACCTGCTGCCCCCGGGTGCTCGACATCCCTCTGCTGGTTGGTGCTGTGCTGGCACAGATGACCGCCTCGCCGGTGTTGCTGGCGGTGCAAACGCTGTGGCCTATTGTATTGTGCTTGGAGATGGTCCACGGGGCCTGGCTGCGGGCTGCGTGGTGTTCGCCCTCGCACAGGCTGGCTGTCGACGCAGGGGAGCTTCACGACTGGCTCCTGGGCTGCCTCTTCGTCGGCGCCTGCCTCGCGGTGGCCTCGATGGTGCTCGGGTCTCTGCGGTGTCTCAGGGTCTTCCCCAGGACGGCCGAGCAGCACAGGCGGTACCTCTTCACCCGGTCGCTCCAGCACGTCGTGAACCGTTGGTTAATTTGCTACGCCCTCCAGGTGCTGCTCGTAGGCTACGCACTCTGGATCCAGTCGAGCCGGTGGGGCGCGGCCTCGGACGCCTCGGAGTCAGAGCCCACGAGCCACGCGCAGTGGGTGCGCGCCCTCTGCTACCACTACGCGAGCGGCTCGGGCGCGAGCCCAGCGACGTGCTCGGACTGCCAGGGCGACCTTCTGGGCGCGCCTGGGCTGGCGTGGTTTCGGGGAAACCCGAAGGTACCGATTTCGCTAGTTACTCCCCGGACCTCTCCCGGGGGGCGTTCTGACCAGAATTTCGAGGCGAACCCAGCGGTAGCGACGAGGGCCTCCCAGGAGGCCCAAAAAGGCGAGAACGAGGCAAGGGTGGCCTCCGAGGTACGAGACCGGGGCGAATTCCCTGTACCTCAACACCACCTGGGCCCGCGAGCACGCCAGCTGGGCCTGGTCGCCACCTGCCGGCGCCCCGCCGGCGGGCGCCGGCGTGCCGTATCCCGGCTGGCCGCCCGGATCCGGCCGCTTCGCGTATGCGGCCGCCTCCCTGGGGGTCTCGGGCATCTTCGGCAGTAAAGCGTGGGAGTCTCGTGTACCCTCGTAACTCCGTCGTTTGAGTGCACTGGCGTCGATTGTTGTATAGCGTCGATTGAACGTCGGTGAATGTCGATGAGCGTCGACTAGCGTCGATCTAGCGTCGACTAGCGTCGATATTAGCACCGATATTAGCATAGATGAGGGTCGATTCGCAAGAGCAAGCAAAATGGTATGGGAGGCTCGCGTGCGCTGCCGCAGAAGGCATCGTCCTGGTCAGCGCCGGGGCGCTCCTCTGGCGCAACGCCCTGCTGAAGCTGGTGTTCACGGCAGTGGGGCCGCTCTGCTATTTTTTCCTCGTGGGACACGTGGCGCGCTGGAAGATATTCGGGCCGATCACCTCGCAGGTGCTCGTCTAGCAGAACACAAAGCCGAACACTGAACTTAACTAGCATAAAAGCACATATGCAATACATAAGCCATAAACTCACCTATCTAGTGGCCTTCGGCCCATCTTGTTACCGCGCCTGGCTTCTAGGTCAGAGGCCTCTTGGATGCTTGTGGAGATCTCTTGGGAGGCCTCTCGAAAGCCTCTTGGGGGCGGTTTTGGGGTGTTTTGACTGCCTATCGGGGGCCTCGCGGGCCTCTTGGGTCCTGATTTGGGCTTCTTTGGGGCCTCCAGGAGCTTCCGGGGGGCTTTTGGGAGCCAGCTGGCGGTCTCGGGAATCATTTTGGGGAGGAGGGCTCGAAATGTCGGCCTGTGCCCCCCGCTCGGGCCCAACTCGGGGCCATCTTGGGACGTCCCAGTGGTTTCTTGGGCCGTCTTGGGTCCCTCGTGCACCGGGGCCTCTTAGGGCGATCTCGGGGGCCTGTTGGGCCGTCTTGGTCGGTAACCCGACCGGGCGACAACGCCCTCATCCTTCCCAGACTTGGCTTAGACTTATGGGTTTGGCCGCTCGGGAGCCCTCTTTGGGCGTCTTGTGGCCTTCTTGGGCCGTCTTGAGCCATCTTGGGCATCTTGGAGCGGTCTTGGGCCGACACGAGGCTCTCGTTGACCGTCTCGGGGACCTCTTGGAGTCCTCTTGGCTCGTATTGAGGCCCTCGGTGCTCTGGAAAATCTACGCTGGAACGCAAGCGAAGCTGAGGAACGTCTTGCAGATCGGGGAGCAGGTCTTTTCATACTTTAGAATTGAGGGCTGAGAATCCGAAGTACCTGAGGACACTCCAACTCACGCGTCAGGGCACGGTCGACCCTAAACTGACATATAAACAATTACCCCAGTGCGGCCCTACCTAGAACCGTGACGTCCCTGGACCCAACAGCGGGGGGGGCATCAAAGTGGTCGCCCATATGGTCGCCCCTATGGTCGCCCGAATGGTCGCCAAAAACCGATATGGTAACCCATATGGTCGCCCAAATGGTCGCCAAAAACAGCTTTTTAGAAATATGGTAACCCCAATGGTCGCCCAAAAGGTCGCCGCGAAACGGGTAACCATTCCATGTGGTCGACCATATGGTAAATCAAAATCGCTCGGGAAACGCGCGGCGGTCTCTGTGGGCACGTGCGCACTGTATAGCACAGCATAGCATTACTACTGTTCGTGTGTGGGGATATGGGGTATGAGTATTTGGCAATCCTCAGACGAGTTCCAAACAGGCTTCAAACGTGCTTCACACGAGCCTCGCACAAGCCTCAAACAGGTCTCGCACAAGCCCCAAACAAGTCTCAAACAAGTCTCAAACAAGTTTCAAACAGGTCCCATACAAGTCTCAAACAGGTCTCGCACAAGGCTCACACAAGTCCCAAACAAGTCTCAAACAGGTCTCTCACAGGTCTCCAACAAAGAGCAATCAAGTTTCAAACACGTCCAAAACAAGTATCAATCAAGCCCCGAACATGTTTCGAAGAAGCTTGGACCCAGCTCCAATCAAGCCTCGTACACACTCCAAACAAGTCTCACATGCGTTGGGCATTCCTTGAGATTGTATATTAGTGGCGCTTCGCGCACCCCCGCCACCACCAGCTCCTCCGAACACGACCGCCAGACGAGACGCCCAGAGAGGGCGGGAAGAGAAAACATAAGGCAACCCAATGTCTGTTGTATCAACTACAAAAAGCTCTATTGCACAAGTGGTGCTGTGCCGTGCCCTGCTCACATGTCGTAGCATAGCGCATAGCATAGCATTGCTTACATTGCGTTGCGTAGCATAATCGTGCAAACCACGATAGACATTACATTACGTATCACTGCATTGCAGAGCAGTGTGCCCCATTGCCTAACACAGCGCGCGTTAAGCATCCTGCATGTTAGAAGCACGCATTGCATTGCACTCTACTTTCAACGCTTATCACTCACGTCCGCATCCATTTTTGTTCACGCATGCTTCGGTCCATATTGATACCGAACGGTTGTGTGAGGTCAATGGCTTCTTCAGGTGGCAAAGAATATGTTACAGTTGATTTCTCTCAGTATCCTGTGCTCAAAGTCGACCTGAAGGAACTTCCCATCGGGTACAACAAGAATGTGGTTCTCGAGATCCCTATTGGTTTGCAGATTCGGGGCAGGGCACACGACCCTACCCAAGAACAGCGTGCTTTCCTCAAACGGCTGCGTGACGACTCCGACCATGCTGAAGCCAAAGATGGAGTCAGCGCCGTGAAAGAAGCACGCACCCAGGGCAATGCAGTTGACAAGTCGTGTGATGTGGAGATAATCTCGTCACAGGAGCGTGAGTCTCAGGCAGCTCTTCCAGATGATGGTGCTGCTGCTTCCTCTTCCAAGCAGCCGCCAGCTCCACACGTGACGCCGGTGGCGATAGGGCAAGTGGTGATCGGTCATACTCCTACGGTGGCAAAGGCCTCGGGTACGCAAGACGCGATTGCCACCCAGACTCTTCGTGATGATACTCTCAGTCGTGCACTTAATTTTGGCGTGCAGCAGAGTCAGCCTGCTGTGAGCGAGCATCTTCAGAATCTTCCTGATGAGTGCGAGCCTGATGGCACTCAGCCTCCGTGGGACGGTTTAGACCACGCGTCCCAGCCTCTCTTCGGCGATATTATTAGTGAGTTCGCTGCGCCTTTGGATTTGTCTGGAGCGTTAGACGTTCCCGACTCGTTGTGCCCCTAGGCGTGCACAAGTGTGAGACTCGACTTTCCGAGTCGTTCTCCATTAAAATGTTGAAAATGGTGTGGAAGATGTTGGCATTGCGTGGCAGCAGTCTCAAAAAGGTACCAAACAGGACCCTGACAGGTTTCAAGCAAGGCTCAAACATGTTTCAAACAAGTCCCAAGCACGTGTCAAACAGGTCCCAAACGAGTCTCAAACAAGTCCCAGACAGGCCTCAAACAAGTCTCAAACAAGTATCAAATAGATCTTAAACATGTCTCAAGTAAGTCTCTAAGCAGCGTCCAACACTTCTCAAACAAGTCTCAACTGCGTTGGGCACTCCTTCTGATTATTCCTGGCGCTTCGCGCGTCTCCGCCAGCGCCAGCCCATCCAGAGACGACGCCCACGCGAGGTGTTCAGAGATCGGGGGAGAGAAAACATAGGGCTCCATGGTGTTTGGCGCAACCACTGGCGTAACCTATGGCGCACCATGTGCCGTGCCGTGCCGTGTCCGTAGCAAAGCATAACATACCACAGCGCAGCACGGCATTGCATTGCATTGAGTTGCGTATCCTTGCATAGCACAGCAATGCAACCCACAGCACGCAGTGCATCGCATAACGTAAGATTGCACACCATTGCGTTGCATTGCATGGCATCGCTTGCGCTCTAAGCATCCTGCTGGAAAGCAGCACTCATTGCATTGCATTGTGCTTTCAACGCTTATCAATCACGCCCATATCCATTTACGTTCAAGCGAATTCAGGGCATTTTGCTTGCATTCTCAATGAGCACGGCATGTTGACGTCACTCCATGCATGGACGAGTGGGGGATCGCAGCGCTGGAGGCAGAAGCAACAGCAACCGCTGTCGACCTCGATCGGGTGCTTCGCGAGTGGGCCGAGGCTGCAGATGTTGCCGCAAATGACACCATCATGGACGAATGGAGCCTGGCCGCTGCTGCCGCGAGTGGTGACTGCCCCAATGAACCCTCTGCTTCAGGCGCTGGCAATTCAGAGCTGCAAGGGCCATGCGACCTGCTGCAATGTACTTCTGGGACGGCTTTTCGGCAGTTTGCCAAAAGCGTCAAGAACATCGACGATGCCGTTACCTACGCTGGAATGGCTTGCCACTTCTTGCATGACGAAGATGCTCATAGAGCGCACGTGAACTGCCCCGACGAGGTAGAGGAGATTCTCGCCCGCATCATGGACCCACATGGGTTCAAGAGGTTGTCGTCTCAAAGCGTTGATGCAGATTCATCTGGGAAAACTAGGCATTGCATGGGAGCGGCGAAGTTGACCTTATCCTGCGGTGTGTTCCTTGTCCAGAGGGGCCAGGCCAACGTGTTGGTCGAGAGGCTGGTCGCCTCGGCTCGTGGCAATGGCTTTGAGCCCGCTGTATTTCTTGAGAGACATCGCGGCGACGAGACCCCATTCGCCAAGGTGAGAGTTCAGACGCGCATTGGGGGCACAACCATGGCCAGTGCAGCACCGCCAGAGCAATTGGCAGACCAGGACGCGGATGCCGAGGTGCCTCTGTGTCAGAAGCCTGAGGGGGCGATGGTGGCGTACGCCGTGAACGCCAAAGTCTACCAGAACGAATTGCTATGCGGTGCCCTCTTCACGTCGACATCTGGCTGCAAAGCATTGTTGGTATCGTTCGAGTTGCTGCAACCGTTGTCCTCTCTCGACAGGTGCAAAGCTGAGTGCTATGTTGAGATGTTTCGTTGCCTCTCCAACGTGCTGCCATCTAGATCGCAGTTCAGGCGAGTGCAGAGGTTGGCAATTACCGACGGCGATGGCGCGCTCGATCTGGCAGAGCGGGTGTATAGATATCGCAATCGTGACGAGCTTGTCGGTACACTCCATTTGAAGTGCCTTGTTCATCGTGTGTACCACTGCATCAAGAAGCCGCTTACGATGGTGAAGCCTTGGGTCACAGGTATTATCAGATGGTCTTTGAGCTTGCGAGGTCCAAACTACTTCGTCGACTTCGTCACCATCTTGTCCAATTGGCTGCAGGATAAGTTAGATTACCGATGGGATCCAGGCAGCCTTGGGGCAGGGCTCGAATCAGATCGTTATCGCGGTCGCTGCTATGACTTGTTTCTGGCTACGTCAGACCACTCGACGAGATACCAGCGAGTGCGGCGGTACGTCATCATGAGCATGGCGAATGGCAACATCAGGGAGAGAAACACTTTCCAGCACTATTGCCGCCCAGGGTGTTGCAGGGACCGAGCCCACTGTGTAGAAAAATTGACGGGGCGCTTTGTTCGCGCTCTGTGTGGCAAGATGCCTCCTATTT